CGTATAGTTAAGACTTCCTTAAATGTAACAAAATTGTTTTGTTTTTTTCTTCTAAGGAACTAAACTTAATATTTTACAGATTTCTACCTGCAAGTTTTTTTAAATAATTTTTTTGAAAATTTGATATATCTTTGAAATTAAAGTTCTATGTTTCAGTTATTTTTTCAGTTAGATTTTTTGTGCCTAATTAGATTATAAGCAGCTGTAAATATTACCAGCAAAAAAAAAATTAACGGGGGTGTTTTGAGGTATTAGGCCCCAAAGTTGTTTTATAGAAATAGGTTGTTTTATAAAATATGCGATATATATTATATATATATATATATATATATATATATATATATATATATATATATATAGCATATATATATATAGAGTATATATATAGCATATATATATATATATATATACATATATTATATATATATATATATATATATATATATATATATATATATATATATATATATATATATATATATATATATATATCACTTTGATTGGTTGAAATTTGGAAGATTTTAAATTGATTTTTCTTAAAGACAACTTAACCAATTTTAATTATTTTCTTTTTATAATGATGCTTACATAATTAATTTTTATTTCAATAAAAATAAATATAGCCTTAACTTTACAATGAGCAAGTAAATTAATTTTTTGTAAAATACCCTCCATCATTTTTTTTACCCTCCGCCACTTTTTTGTAGCAATAATAAAAAAAATTCCAATATTTTTTAACTTTATTTTTACATTTGTATATTTTCTCTCAATATTCCCTTCACAATTGTCTAGTAAGATTCGATAACTCGCTACTCAGGACGGTTTGGTGGATTAGCATCCTTTGGATCAAAATTGATTCTTTTTTTCTTATACCACTGAATTACTTTTTTGGAATAGTGGATGTCAGATTTGGCCAAAATAATGTTGATTATTTGTGATTTTTAATTAGAAGAAGAAGTTGTTTAATTTTGCTTTTAATTAGAGGAAGAAGTCATATTTTCAAGCATTACCTTGCATACAGATCTGGTGTCAAAGATTGATTTGTTATGAAAGGGAAGCTTTTAAAACATGAACTGCAAATTCCCTACCATTTAAGGAACCTGAAAGTAATTTTCTTACTCAAATGTACTTAAATTTGTTAGAAGCTTTATAATGTTTTGACTGATAATAGTATTGATTATCTGGAAGCATCAAGCGATTTTTTTTTACAGTAAGTTTCATTGTCTTCTAAAATGCATAATTTTTTTTTATAATTATTTTAAGCGAACTTTTAGCTCATCCAATTACCTTGATTTCTCCATCAAACGACCTTTTTGGTATTTTTTTCTTGTAATTTTCTTTCAGATTTTCTTTTTTGAATACTCTTTAAATAAAAACTTTATTGCATTTAAACTTTGTAACTAATACTTTTTGTGACTGAGTTGGATTTTGATGAATTGAGTTGATTATTGATTTTGCCTTCTTTTTGGAAATAAATCTTTATTTTCCACCACTTCCCGATTTTGTTTTACAGTTTTGTTTTTCTTATACCATTTAAAATAATTCCAACAGTTGATTTTGGAACTTTACATGTCTTTGAAATCATGGAAAATGAGAACGATGGACTATTTATGCAAAATTTCAAAAAATCATTTTTCGATTTTCTGACTTTTTACTCAACATTGCAAAAAGTAATGCGAAATAAACAAAACTATACTCACACACAAGAAAACAATTTTTGTTAGCATCATTAAAAAAAATCATAACATTTGATTAAGTTGTTTTTGAGGAAACTCAGTTTAAAATTGTTCAAGTTTCAACTGATCATGGTGATATTAATATATATATATATATATATATATATATATATATATATATATATATATATATATATATATATATATATATATATATATATATATATATATATATATATGTATATATATATATGTATATATATATATATATATATATATATATATATATATATATATATATATATATATATATATATATATATATATATATACATAGAAGAAAATGGTTAAAAGATTGAGTTGAACAAAGAACATCATCTTGACATGACTAACCTGTTTGTTCATATTTGGCTTAAATTATTTTATAAACAATCTGATGGTTATTCACAATATGCTGTTACTAGGCATTGTAGAACTACTAAATTCATGTTTAAATTGAAATTGAAAATCTTATCTTTTTATAGATAAAATCTTTTATAAAAGTTCTGAAAATTAAGTTTGTAAAATTGCTGACTAGCTTTTGTTACTATTTAAACAAAATAAAACAGTGCTTGATCTTAATGTGGGAGTCAAAAATCATTTTAACATGTGCTTATCTGGAAAACAAGCAAGCTCATATTTATGTGTATGCTTTTATATTATGGTTGAGCATTGTATTAATTTAGTTTCTATTTTATTATAGGAATGGCTCATGTTCTTCCCAGAGAGGTTCTAAAATGGTTGCAAAGTTTAGAGTTATCTTACCCAATACATAATAGCAAAAGGTAAATTTTCAGTTACTAGTTTTACTTTACTTGATATTAAACAAATATTGTTGCATTTTAATTCCTTACCTCAAAAAGCAGTTGCCCAGTAAACACAGAGGCGTTTAGAGTCGTAGGTCAATATTGAGTCGAAATCGATCAAAAAATAGATAAAATGTTCAGCAATCAATTTTTGTATCTAAATGTTTCTATACATTTAATAAATCTTTAAATAAATGCATTAAAAATACGTTTGTGTCTTAACCTCTTATAGACATTTATTTTAAACATTATTTTGGATTTCATTCTGAATGAATAAACGGCCAAAACTTGAATCAAACAAATGTTTAGACTAACTAAAAGTCTAAACATTTGTTTGAAGTTTAATAGATTGTGTGTTTGGTGTTATTTAGCTTCAGATATCATATTCTTTCAGCAAACCCTACTTCAACATATACTTGCTTAATCTTTATGTACCACTTATGAAACATGAAGATTAACAGCTGTTTATAGCAATTTTCAGAGTGATGGTTTTAGAACCAAGAGATCCAATGCCTATTCTTGTTATATATGTAAAATAAATAATGAAAGGTCTGAACTTCTTTGTTAAATGTACTGTAACAAGACTGTTAAACCTTCTTAAAATACCTAAATGTCTTGCATTATAGACAACCTTCACTGTCTTAAATTATAGACTTCACTACTTTAAGTTATAGACAACTTTTTCTGCTTTTAATTATAGGCAATGTTTACTGCATTAAGTTATAGAAAACTTTACTTCTTTAAGATAACCTACATTGCCCTAAGTTATCGACAATCTTCACTGTCTTAAGTTATAGACAAACTTCACTCCTATAAGTAATCGACAAACTTTACTGTCTTAGGTTATAGACAAATTTCTTTTCTTCAAACATTTTGTTCTGTAATACTTTAACTAAAATAAATATCAAAATGCAGTGTTTTGCTGTGATTAAATATTTAGTCTGTATCAATTTCACCTGACCAATCTCCAGTTACCTTTTGTTTTACTTCAGTTATTATGAGTTCATTAGAATTGATTAAAGAATTGATTGAAGCTCATTAATATAAGCTTCAATCAATTTTTAATCAAGAACGTCAAGAAAGAACCATAAAAAGAAATTAGTAATTCAGTTTTGCTTCAACTATTTTTTATAAATATAAATTACTACAGAGCTTAAAATATTTAAAAAGTGTATCCTTGAGTTAAATTTTTAATGAAGCTGGTGTATAGTATAAAACACAGTTGAAAATGTAATATTTAATCATAATGAAGCGGAAGCATAAAAATTCCTTTGTACAATTGAGATTTCTATTTATTGATTCATTTCCTTGTTGCATGAACTTGGATGCTGTGTTTAGCGCAACCAAAAAAATTTACCTGCATTTGAAAAAATCTACCTGCATTTGAAACAAATAATAAAGGTTACATGTAACATACAGTAACTTGGACATTTTGGTAACATTGACATGTGTTTGATTAAATGTTTTTACCCGATATTGTTTTAATAGGTGTTGTAACTAGATGTTAAAAAAACAATATAACTATTTTTATTGACAAATCAGTAAGTATAAATAACATCATAATTCAGCAGGCATAAATTAAACTAATTTTAGTTTTTTAAACTTAAGTTAAAAAATAAGTAAAAAAAATTTACATGTGTTTTTATAATGTTGTTTCTAAATACATAGCATTTCTTAAAACATATATATCAGTTTTGGGTCAACATTGAGAGGATTGAATCATGCAAAAGTTGGTGGAATGTCTTACATATGCTGAACCTTTTATGGTTACATAAAATAGAATCAACCAAGGTAAACCCTAAATTGAAAAAAAATGTACCAATACATCACATGTCAACAGATCTAAAAACCAACATTTTCAGAAAGTTCAAGTCCACACTTAGTAATGTTGCATAATACTAGTAAGAACATAACATCAGAACCTGAAGATATAAACTTATCTGGCTGTTTCAAAAATTGAACAAACCACTGAAAAGTCTGTCACAAAGAAACATCTTAAAATTTCGTTGGAGTCAGATATTGAGTCATTAATGCATTATAGAACTAAATAGTTTGACAGTTCTTAGAAGAAAAAAATCAATCATAAATTATATTATAAATTAATATAACTTTTTTTTTAAAATATATTATAAATTAACATAACTTTTTTATATCTTCAAATAGACACTAATAGAACTGAAGCTAACTTTCAAGTAATAATATTTCATTATTTTTAAAAATGTAGGATTTTCGTTTTGAAAAGTTGTAAAGTTGCATTAAAAATGTAATGAATGCTAATGGTACTAATATATATTTAAAATGTTTTCTCTGTTTGTTTCTTAAAACTAAAATGATAATTTCACTTCTCACAATCTAAATTAGTATTTACAGCACTAAATTTACTAATATTAGTGTTACCCAATAAACTAATGTCTTACCCAATATAGTAATGTCAGTATTACCCAATATAGTAGGTAACATTGACAGTTGCACGCCAACAACAAAATCAATTATCTATCAATAATATTACATGACTAATTAATTTTTTTATCAGTTTATGGCAGTTATATCATTTGTAAAAATGTAACAATATTTCACACCAAAATGGGCAGACGTTAACTGCTTGTTAATACAACAAATTTATTAATAACAATAAAATTTTATTACAATCAGGCATCATCACATCTTCCCAAGAACTAAAGTTTTTAAGTAACATAGTGATTTATATATCTTGGCATTCTCCTTTCTCTGGTTGATCGCCTGATTGATGATAATAAATCATCAATGATTTCTCTGCCTTCAGTTTCCTCCTCAGTACCTTTGATTCCTTCCTCTTGTGCAGCAAATATATATATATATATATATATATATATATATATATATATATATATATATATATATATATATATATATATATATATATATATATATATATATATATATATATATATATATATGTATATATATATATATATACATATATATATACATATATATATATATATATATATATATATATATATATATATATATATATATATATATATATATATATATATATATATATATATATATATATATATATATATATAAGACTAGGTCAGCCCAAAGTCGACAAACTATAACCATTGTCAAGTCGACAATGGTTATAGTTTATGTCTTATATATATATATATATATAAGACTAGGTCAGCCCAATGTCTCTATAACCATTGTCAAGTCGACAATTTTTGTAATTTTTATAATTTTCGTTTAAAATATAGATAAACTATTTAGTTAAAATAATATGCGACCAGTTTAAAAAAAAATTAACATTTAGACATTATATAATATGTTTTTTTTCAACTATAAATAGACTTATTCTACTCGTAAATCTTGCGTCAAGTTGACAATAATAAATATATAGACTTGAATTTTAATATTTCTATGTTTTTATAAATTTTTTTAATATAAATATATGTAAAAATGACAAAAAACTTTAAAATATGCGTATAAAATTTATTTTATACTATTTCTACGACGCCAAGTTGAAATATATGTGCATGCGTTCAAATTGCTAAGTCAACAAATTTTCTATTTCTTTTTAAAAAAGAGCTTATTTGATCACTTAAATTTTTTTACAATACAAACACTTAATCTATGCAACATCTGTTAGTGAAAAATGAATTAAAAAAGAAAATTTTTTATGTTGACTTATGGTGTAAAAAATAATCGGTGTCGACTTTGAGTAGACCCAGGCTTATATATATATATATATATATATATATATATATATATATATATATATATATATATATATATATATATATATATATATATATATATATATATATATATATATATATATATATATATATATATATATATATTAGGGTGGGTGATAAAATTTTTTTTTCTTGTTACAGGCTCTAAACATTGCTAATAGTTATTAATATTGATACTATCAAATATGAGAATGATTGTGATAGATTTAAAGGGCGCAACTTTATTGGGAAAATTACCGGTACCCTAATATTTACGAGAAAAAAAGTTTTTCAAAAGTAGGTCAACCTGGTACTCAAAAGAAGCGAAATTTTATAAAAAATTCGAAAAATAATAATCGTTTTATAAAAATCATATTGTTGAAAAAAATTGTTATTAAAAAACATGTAAAAATGCTCCTTTTTCACTTTTAGTTAAAAAACTATAGTTATTATGCAATAAAATCTATAATAATAATTTTTATATGAAAAAATTATTATTTTTGAAATTTTTATAAAATTTTGCTTTAATTGAGTACCTGCATCACATAATTTTGAAAATCTTTTTTTTTGAATAATAATAGGGCCTGCTAATTTTTGTAATTATAGTTGCAGGTGGAAGACATTGTTCAATCCATAAAAGTAAATACTTTTCTAAATTAGTACATAAAAAAACAACTTTCTAGACCATAGCCAGGTTAGCAACTCTAAAAAAATAATTTTATGACCCACCCTAATATATATATATATATATATATATATATATATATATATATATATATATATATATATATATATATATATATATATATATATATATATATATATATATATATATATATATATATATATATATATATATATATATATATATATATATATATATATATATATATATATATATATATATATATATATATATATATATATATATAAATTAGAAGAAAATCACTTAACAAAATTTTTTTTTCATTTTACACTGTGTTTCATCAACAAAGACTCATCAGAAATGAATGATCAAATTAATAAAACTTCAATTTATACCAAAAAATTAAATAAAAGGAAGTTGCAAATGTGTTAACTACTGTAAATTTTCACACATTTGTGGAATTTGCTGTGGAATTTATTATAAAAAGAATTCTTTAGAAATGATTACTTATGCTTTTTTTTATAAAAATATTTTTAAAATAAGGGGGATTTATTGTAACTATTATTTGAGCTCACTTATTTTTATAATTTTTTAGGAGAAACTTATTCTTG